ATGATTGCATCGTTTTTGTGTCTAATCGGTAAGGTCGATCCTTCACGCGAACGATCCTCTCTAAATGATCTTCTACTATAACACATTAAAGTGCTGTTCGCCAAGGTTATGCTTCTTCTATATCTATTTCTTTTTTAAAAGACGGAAATCGCTTCGTAATTTATATATAGATCGTCCCAATAGTCCTTGGCATTTGTATTATACCTGTATTCTACCTACTACCTGAGTGAGTTTACTAATGAAAAACGGTGGCGTAAGTGGAATAAAATCGTTACGGATCCATAGCTCTCGACATCATTTCGTAATCATCAGGATAATTTTTCATTTGCTATACTTAAACACCAATTATTTAGTATAAATTAAAATTTGTCACTTTTACAAAAAATACAACAAGCTACAGTAAAAAAAAAACATGATCCGGGTTTAATTTATTTTAAATTATATTTCTAATTTACACTTTAGCGTTCTTTATGAAATAGATGTTATGTTTTCACGACCGGTAGTACCAAGAACATTTGCACATGCGCTGTTAAACTGTAACTAAACAAACCTTTACTAATAAGTAGTAGGTACGGGTAAGGGCCAAAATGTAACTGTTTTGGTAGCTGTTCCATAAACAGCTTCGAAATACGAAAGCAATTAACCGTTTTATCAAAACTATCACCTAAATGTTAGGGGTGAAGTCAGTATTTCAAATTGAAAATGCGTGGAATAACGCTTTGAAGCTTTGAAATATCTTCGCTGTGACTGGTGATTTATCGAGACTGCCTTTGACGTGCTGATGAGAGTAAATAAGATAGAAATCGCGATCTATGTCTGCTAGTTACGATAAATTATTGACCAAGAATTTATTCTGTTCTGTTATATATTTATATAACAATGAAGGAGGCAACCTTTAGTAATAATAATGGACTAATTGAACCTGTCCATATTTGAATTGCATTTATGACAGTTATATTTTAAATAATGGAGAGATTTCATAGGCGAACATTTAGCCACAGCCAACTAAGACCAAATATTGACCTTTAACTGACAGCTCCTTAAGCAGTTTTAATTAGAATAAGTCAGGATTCACGACTAACAATTGAAGATTCTAATTAAACAAAACCACAAAATGTTGTACAGTAAAGTTATTAACGTTAGTTGGTTCCATCCAGTAATTAGTCGTTTTAATAGCGATCTAATTGCAGAAAGTTGTATCGTTGGAGGAGATAGCTGCATAAATTTAAATGGTGGAACTGTCGGTAGTGCATATATATATGTCTTTAAAGCTATTCCTGCGATAACTCAATGGTAGTCCTTAACATATAATTTTACAATGTATAGTGTAATACACGTCTAAAGGTATATACAGCCAACTATACATGTCATTAGAATGTATGTAACCAACTGTACATGTCATTAGAATGTATGCAACCAACTGTACATTCGAATATACTTATTCATTTGGATCAGTCACCTCGTTTCCAGTTAAATTGGCAATCCTTAATTCAATATTCTGATTAAACGATGAAATTTTGGTTATCGAAAGTAATCACGGTTGTTAATTTGATATGTACGATGGCGTAATAAGAAGCGAGAACCAAGAGACTCAAACACACACTTGTATTTATTGAAGTGCAATTTTACGGATTTAAATAAAATTCTAAAGCTACTTAGTTCGTTTTCCGTTGTGTACGCCACTGATTACTTAAAAGCTGTATTATAGGTCCCCTTTTATAGCCACGATACGCTGATTAAAATCCATTGTTTTTGTCTTTATACCAACAAATGAATTACTCACATTCTTGACGTGAATCGTGAACTTAAAACAATCACTTTCCGTAACGAAAAAACAACACGTTCACAGTTTAGTTAGAGTTATAATATTATTGTAGTTGTGATAGTTGGCTATTATATCGTCTGCTGCGTCGCTTAATTTCAATATGGTAATTTAGCGTTATTGTTATTATGATTGTCTGGCATCTTGGATGCTGCACGGTCCTCATAATAATCCTCTTCGTTTATACATGCGAAAGAGGGCGGAGTACAACAAGCACGTTTCACTGAACGGGTACCCGACAACCACTTTACAATGAAACTACAACGCAACTGTGCTGTGTCGTGTTTTGTTCATCCGAAATGAGAACGAGAACAGCATTTACCCACGTTCAAATATCATATTATCATCATTTCAATTTTATTACATTCCTAGTCAAAGTCAATTTTAATCAGTTCAATTAACAACCTGTACGAAATCCTAATCCTAGCCGAGCATACTTATGGATTTGACGGTGTTTTCAAGAACACTGTTCGCAATTCGTCATCATCATCATAAGGTCATCAGACTGGTTGGACACGCACCTCCACTCCTTCCTATCCCGAGCTAATCTTCGCATTTCCCTAAAACCAGAACAACTCACATCCGTAAATATTTGCAAACAGTAATCTAATCTAGGTCTACCTCTGCTACTCCTAACTCCCGTTTCTGCCTCTAATATGTCTACACCTACATGCTGGAGAAGTTGTCCTACCAACCTATCTAGCCTATTTTTTATTAACTTCCATAGAGTCCTCTGTTCTCCTATTCTTTCTAATACCTCTTCATTTCTAACCTTCTCTATTCACGGTATCCTCATCATTCGCCGGTAACACCACATTTCGAACACTTCTAACCTTTTCTTATCCAACGCGCCCACTGTCCATTTTTCGCACCCTTTACAGCGTCGCGCTCCAAACATCCACCTTTAACAATCTTTTTCGAATTTCTAAATTAACTGTTCCCAGTCATAGAAGTGACTTCTTTTTATTGAAGGCGACTCGACTCTGCGCTGTCCTCTGCTTTATATCCCTACTACCCCTTCCGTCTTGACTTATCTGACTTCCTAAATACCTAAAATCAACCACTTCTTCTAACTCCTTTCTTTATATTCGCTCTTTCCCTAGTTTTTCTTTCCTTGCATACCAGTGTTTTTATTTTACTTTCATTTTACGTACTTGATATAAAACAAAAATATTTGCCACATAAAAAAACCAGTGTTAATAAATAAAATGCCAAGCATACTAAACACACTGAAATTTCTAGTGGTTAATAATGGATATTGATTTGAAAATTCATTCTCAATTTTTTTCCACCATAAATTAATGAGAAAAATTTTTGTTGATGCTGTCGTACCCTCGCAGGTAATCGAACCTGGGTCCCGGGTTCTGGGTGCCGGGTTCGATGTCCAGGGTAACTTGAGGTGAAAAAAATTGATAGTCGAAAAAATATTGAGATTGAATTGTCAAATTAATATAAAAGCTTAATAAAGTCAACCTCATAGTTTCGTTCGTAAAGTTGCCAACTGATTAGCACAAAAGATAACCATTAAGTGGGGGAATTATATGGGGAAATCATTTTGTATTGGCATTACGTTTTCCTGGAATTCGGTTTGTATTTTGGATCAAGTAGGTACAACTGTAGTTATATAGTCTTGATTGTACATTAATTGAAGGCCAGATTACCAGATGAATATGTATTCGCGTGACTTCGTCTTCAATAAAATGTATGTACATTATTATTAATTTATTTAAGTCTTCTTAATATATAGCATTTGAACAAAATCTTACCAAATAAAATATAACCTTCTGAAACCTTCCTAAACTTTGCTTTAGTTGAAAACTCTAATAAACTCAATTTTTTTAAAATACTTTGAACTTTAACTTGCCTAAGTTCTGCTTCTTTAAAAGAATATAGCTACATATATTGTTCAGACCAGGGTACATTTACCTGCCGTTTCCTTGAAACATTAAGTTGGAAATTCAAATATTCAATTTTGTTGGTTTTTACAAATATTATATGTAAGTGGTTTAGGTGTAATTTTAGGGTATCGAACTTTGCAGGTAACAATATCTTTAAGATACTTTATCTTCAAGTACTTAAATAATATTAGAAACCAGTTGGTTAGCACTTTCACCCCTTCCTCTATCAGGGTGGAGATTATGTTATAAATAGGCTGACACACTCATAATAACAGACATCAAAATAGACATCAAATAAGAACAATTAAGACAACAACAGACAACAATTAGTAGCATCAGTGTAATCATCAAGTTCAGGGTCTTCAATATATGTATTAACTGTGTATATGTAAATAAATATTACTAAGTGCAGTTATTCGTGTTATTCATCACTGAGGTAAATTATTTGCACTTACAATCCCTCCAAAAATTCGTGTGCTCCCTCATAGGAGAAAGAAGTGGCGCGGCAGCGCAAAATAAATAAAACATATATATAAACGTGAATTTTTAAGACTCGCCTTTTACTTCGTTTGATCAGTAGGAGTAGGTATTGTAGAAGCCGAGATATAACTGAATACTTAAAAAATAATTGTGAAATTCCCGATTAATGCTTGCGTTATATTTATGTCTAAATAATAAATTTCTGCTACTTTTAAAATATTCTATTGTTTTTTCTTTCTTATTTTACATTTCTGAGTCACAGTAAAAATAATTCACTTAAAAAATATTCAATGTTTTTTTCTTGAAAATCGTTGAATTAATTCTGTATAAAATGCTAATATTTTAAATTCAAAATTAATGCTACATTATTTATCTTCTACTAGGTACTTCTTTTGGTAATTATTGAAATGAAAATTCGTGATTTGAATATAAGGAGCGTGGTACCTACAAGTAATAACACAATTAGTTATTGTTTTGAGTACCGTTTCATTTTATTGATTTTTGCGCTAATAAAGTTGGATTTATGAACTTGTTGTCAAAAAAGAATTTTGTTAAAAATATAAATTGCTTGTTTAATAAAGTTATTGGATTATAATATGAAAAGTATATTGCAAATTTACAAAATAATCGTATTAAAAAACCGGATAAATTAAAATAAAATTATAATTTTATGCGAATATTTAATTTCCTAATGATCTTTTTAATCCAATTTCTAAATTTTTGTCGGCGGAATTATGAGTTAAAATAAAAAAACGTATTTTTAAAACAAAGGCTTTAATAGGCCATCAGCATAACAATTCCAAAATACTAAAATACAAAATTTTCTTAGTCCATTTGACTACTTACAATCTAAATAATAAATATATTTATATGAAAAATAAATCTCTATATATGTGGCAATACAATCTACATTCAACATGTTAAAGCACTGAACGAAAAGTGTATATCTATGATAGCACCAAATGATAAGAATTCACCTTAATTCGCCGCCTAAAACCGCACTCTAATTCGTCTCATCGGTGGTAGTACTTGTTCCGTTATCAAGACTTAAATCGAGTGGTGTAGTCTTCGTCTGTTCACATTCGCGTCCCCTACCAGTCTCTTCTAGCGCGATCTTGGTGGTAGATGGCGAGGTTTTTACCGACAAATCGATTGGCTGGTCTTGTTCTGGCGCGGGCTCGGCAACAGTCAAAGGCGACCGAAGCCAAAAGTCTTTCCACAAACTGTTGTCACCGAATGTTTGAAGAGGTGGAAACCACAAGGGAAGGACAGGATTTGGTACAACCGAAGGTACGAACGAAGACACCAAAGGGAATTTATTCTGGAGACCGCTACCGGCAAAGCACATACTTTCACTACCTGCAGATGGTACTTTTTTATTAGAAACACTCGACCGATCACTTAGCGGTGAACCGACTTGATGGAAATAACTCAGGGCACTCGCTGACCTAACATCGTCGTCCGTATCAGCAGAGGAGGCGCCGCTATCTGACTCGGGACTCTTGGCCTCTGCGGGGGGCGCGGAATTGCTCAAGGGGGGTATATAATGCGGTCGCATGAGACCTGGAATTAACAGACCAGTTGACGCAGCTTGTTGAAGGTGCTGATGGTGTTGGTGTTGCTGGTGCTGCTGATGCTGGTGTTGGAGCTGGTGGTGTTGATGTTGCTGCTGTTGTTGCTGCTGTTGGAGAAGACAGTGGATTTTGAACCAGTTGGATCTGCGGCCGTAACGGGAACCACTTTTTGACATTCCGACTAGCAGGCATTTCCGTAAACGACAGGCCTTGCAAGCGGTCCGGTTCTTTTTGTTTATGACACATTCCCCATTGTTCTTGCATTCTGATATTGAGTTGAGGTTGTTGTACGACCTCCCGAAAAATGACTGAAATAGAAAAAGTATAAGTAAAATTATTTTATTATACCTATTCGATTTCAGTAAGTAGATTTCCATGTATTTAAATGGACCTTGTTGACAATACGTAATCCTAAAATGTAGCATTGTACTACAGATGGCGTTTACCGCGCCATTTGTGGTATTTCATAAAACGTTCTGTTAAGACATCAGGTAAAATTGGTCTGTGTTCTGTCGAAACTGTCTGAGACGCGCTGATGAGATCCAACCAGATCGAAATCACGATCCGCGTCTGGCAGTTTCGACAGAACACAGACCACTTCGAATTATTTTATTCAAATCGATAAGTAGTACACTATGTATTTATTGAGAGATTGTATTTACATGATCAACATAAACTTGTATGAACCAATCAAAAGGGTACTGAAGTTAGCAACAATAGCAACTTCCGGTGCTGTTAGCTCCTGTCTTTGCTTCTAATATGTCTCTAACTAGCCTTTCATGCCTGAGAAGATGTCCTATCAACCTATCTCACCTATTTCTTGTTGACTTCCATAGCGCTCTCTATTCTCCTACTCTTTCTACTATCTCCTGGTTTCTAACTTGCTCCAGCCACTATATTCTTATAATTTGCCTGTAACACCACATTTCGAAAGCTTCTAACCTCTCCTTTTCCGCCGCGCCTATCGTTTACGTCTTGCACCCACAGACAGCCGTGCTCCAGACATACGCATTTAACTATCTTTTATTCAAATTTTAAAATTATCCGTCCATTCTTCTGTGTCTTTAGCTTTGGTGTGAAATCAAAGCCAAAAAGGAGAGAGAGTTAAAAGTTATTTATTTATTCAGTTATTTATACAACGATTTCGTTACTTTAGTTGTTTATTGAACATGTACCGTTGTATCTGCTTTACATCTTCAATAACTTAAAAACTAGCCTTGAGAAAGTCCGACGACTTGAGCGAAACGTTGACTATTATATTTCAATAAATCAATAACTTTTGCCTCCCTCTTTCGATTTTGATTTCACGCTGTTGTTAAATAAATAATATCTCTCAATAAATACAGTATGAAGGGATTTGTACCATTTTGCGTTAGGAGAAAATAAATTTGGAGCCTACCTTGCATCCTTCGCATGTAAAAGCACCGAAGTGAAATCCGGCTGCTGGCTCTCCGCAAACCCTACATAGCTGGTTCATCTACAATTAAAAAAAATGGCTATTAAAAATACTGTAGTACGATATATTCTACCGAAACATTTTTTAACTTATTTAAACACAGAAATTATGTAACTGAAATAGGTTTATGAGTATATCATTATAAAAACATATGTACACAATGTGGTCAATAGGTTCCAGGACTGGGGTATATAAAAAGTCCTGATTTTTAGACAGTTCATCAAGGTTTTAAAATGGAGCAACGATCGGATATTAAATTTTGGTTTAAAGACAATAGAACAAATAGAAACGTACTAAATGTTGACAATTGCATATGGAGAGGAAGCTACATTTCTCGTTCACGTGTTTTCAATGGTTTGCAAGGTTTAATACTCGAAAATAATGACTTGAAAATGACGAGATTAGACCGTTCGTGTTCGAGTCGAGATTTAAAAATGAGGAAGTTTCTGAACGCATTTTCTCCCATACTCGTAGACTCGCGATCAGAAAATGGAACATGTTTCTGTCTATGAAGATTTAATTTTCCGTTTTGGTGTTTCGAATGTGACGCCGGAACAAAACGTCAAAGTTCAGAGTGGACAGATCCGGAAGAAAGCCGACCGATGAAAGTTCGGGCATCAAATATGTCGAGGGCAAAAACAGCGCTCATCTCTTTTTTCGATAGTCCAGGCGACATCATTCGTAGAGAAATTCTTGATCAGTGATCCAAGGCGACGGTAAAACTGTTTTAGATCATCTTATGAAACGAATAATGAGATACGCAAAATCGGAATTGCTGGACAGCGGTGAGTCACACTTGTTGCACAAGAAATTTCGGCCTGTGGGGGTGTAGTCGTCATCGATCACCTCCCGTACTCTCCAGATTTGGCTCCTCCCGACTTTTTTTTACTTCCATAAGCTGATATTGAAAATGAAGGAGGAGCGATGCAAGCCGGTTGGTGTAATTAAAAAGCGGGAAATCGTTTATAAATCTCTACGATTTGTTCTAAGCGTTGTATTGAGTTAGGAAGAGTTTTTTAACAATTCGTTTTTATTTTTAGTGTTGTATGAGTCCAGTCCTGGAGCTTATTAACTACACTGTGCATGCAGGTACATTGAAAGGGCATAACTAATATTTTCTGCTAACATATCTATCTACAGGTCTGTATATGTTGGACTAATCAGAAAAATAAAAATTATAAACATCTTTAACAGAGACATGAACTGCTATTAATGATTTTTACAGATGACTGTAATTTACTTTTTTAAAGGTGGCCTATTGTTTTTTCTTACCTAAAATTCCTATAAAGATGCAGTTTGCAGAATTCCGAAGTTGCAACGGTGCTTGAGAAATCTGGCATTCCAAATCAGTAGATTTTTGGTTCAACATTAGCGGGAGAGATTCATAAATTTCTTTATTACGTACCGGTCTCTGGATGCCCATAAAAATTAAATGAGATTCTCAATTTTAACAATAATAACCAGATTATTAAAATGCTGCTATCTAATATTAAAACGTTGTAATTAAGCTGGACGACCTCCTTTTGAGGCAAATAAATTTATAATTTGTTCAATTAAAATTCATCGGTTTAACATATTTATTATATTCATGCTGAGTGATCACAGGATTATTAAATTGGTAATAGTTAATAATCAAGCCGCATGAAGTAGCTATACAAAATCAAATGTGTAATCATTTACTCAAAAATACCGAAAGAATTTAAATAGATTAATATTTATTCTAAAAAATTAATAATAATTATTTATAATATAATAATACGTAGGAAGGCAAGTTCTTTTAATTTTTTAATAAATACCAGCATGGGGGGAAGAGAGAGATAATTTGAAACGGTGAATAACTGAGAATGACTATAAAATTGTGGAAAATAGAAGCGATACTTAAAATCCTAATTCTGGATAATTTTTATAATTCAATGTTGTGTTCATCCATTAAAGTGAATAAATTTTTGAATCAACTTTAATTAGAACTACAGATAAACTCAAATTAATAAGGGAAGAATTGTTACTGCTGTCACGCCCTCGTCGGGATTCGAACCCTGGCTTTACGCACCATTGCTCTACCATTCAGCTATGAAGGGTGACAGTTTCAATAACGACGACACGTACCTAGGTAGGTAGGTCACAGAATCGTCGAACAAATATGTAATCATTATTAAAAATGAGACATTTAGAAAAATTTTCATAGGATTAACCGTAAATGTCTAAGCACATGAGGTTATGACGCCATCTACTGGAGAATATGGTTTAACTTAAAACACAACCTTTTAGCGTTTTTAAAATAATCCAAATTGATTATTATCCTAAACTAACCGAACATTAAAAATCTTTTGAAATGCAAGTTTTCTTCTATCCCTCGGGAACAGTTTTTTTCTGGATTAAAGGTGCCCTATGTGCTTCTCGGTACCTACCCCTGATCAATTAAGTTGTTAAAGCGTGAAATGGTAATAATTAAACAAACAAACAAATTCACGTTCTCGTTTATAATATTAGTTAGGATTTTATGTTTTTTTACATTATTGAACGAAATTGTGGTCGTATTTCTAATGCAAGTAGAAGTTTATCAAGTTTATAAGCGTTAATTTTTGTTTTATTGGCTTTTAAATCGTAAATGCACACATATAGGCTGGTCATAAAAATATTCTCCATTTTGTCTAAGCTAAAGAGTATTGTGATATATATTAGATGCTCGATATCCCTTAGACGAGTCGCTACTGATGTGTCTATACGTTGAAAGTCGTTTCATATCTGTCCTGATACATATAAACGTATAATATATATAACAATTCAGTATTCATTAATGGCAATTTTATGGAAATATCTGACAATCCTACAGCATCGATAGCGCTATAAAGAAGTAAGAAGCTTTGAAAGCTTTTAGTTGTTATCAGAACGGGCGTATACTGGTTTTAAATGGTCTACATTACTTTTTTGTTTATTTCATCGGGCGGACCAAATAGTAAAGCATCGGAGGGCATCCATCGGCTATAAGTTGAACCGCGGCTTAAGTAAAAAAAAAAACTAACATTTTTTGAAAGCCTGACAACGTTTTAATGATTATTATGAGTCAGTAAATCGTCGGCTTCTACGACCGTTTCTAAGGCTCTTAAAACGATATACAGCTTTAGAAAAAGGACTATTTAGAGTTTTTTCCTTCTCATAATCGTTTTTAAGAACCGTCTTCAATCCGACGTGAAGAATTTACCTTAAGGTATGGTTTTACATCTAATTAATTAAGTAATTAATGTCATCATCATAAGATCGTAAGTCGTAAGCCTGGTTGAACACGCACCTCTACTCTTTCCAATCCTAAGCTAATTTTTGCATCTCCCCAAACCTAGAACAACCCATATCTTTAACTATTTGCGAACAGTAGGTCGACCTGTACCCCTCTTAATTCCAGATTCTGTATCTAATATATCTCTGACTAGACCATCATGACCGAAAAGGTGTCCTACCAACCTTTCTCGCCTCTTATTGATTTCCACAGAGTCCTCTGTTCTCCAATTCCTTTTAATGCCTTTTCATTTCTAACCTTCTCTATCCACGGTATCCTCATCATTCGCCTGTAACACCACATTTCGAACGCCTCTAACCTTTTCTTTTTCGCACCCGTACAGCCCTTAACAATCTATTTCGAATTTCTAAATTAACCGTTCGCGAGCATAGAAGTGACTTCTTTTTATTGAGGGCGACTCGACCCTGCGCTATCTTCTGTTTTATATTCCTACTACTCCTTCCATTATGACTTATCTGACTTCCTAGGTATCTAAAATAAGCCACTTCTGCTAATCTTTCGTCTCCTATTTTTACATTCGCTCTTTCCCTACTTTTTCTTCCCACGCATACCAGTATTTTTGTTTTACTTCTATTTATTTTTATATGGTACTGTTTAGTCAGTACCGCCTCCATTTTATTTAAAGCTATCTCTAACTCCTCCTTGCTAGATGCTAATACTGCTATATCATCTGCAAATCTAAGCATACTAATCTTTTGCCCCTGTATATCTATCCCTACAGTTGTACTTTCTTTAATGATGTTGATCGCGATGTATAGATTAAAAAGTAGCGGTGACAGTAATTAATATGTGTACTAATAATAATTGTCTTATTTTATTATACCTATGAAAGAAGCGGACGCAAATCTGTATGGTAGGATATATTTATTTTATTATAGATACTATTTCATATTATCACATTGCTTTTAAAGATCTACGACAAACACGTAGGTAAATGTTTAGAATACTTCTGTATTGTGTTATACACAACTTTCATAGGTAATAGTTAACAATGTCAGCTGTTCTTTCTTAAATATTTTACATAATAATTCTACCTACATGTTTTCACTTCCTTTACTCTACTGACGTCGACCAATGTACACATATTTTCAAAAGTAAGCTACCGTTCAGATTTAATTGTTAATTCGGTAATTAAAACTTTTTTCGTAAATTATCTTTCACTAAGGTTTAATATTCTTCCAACTCCTTCAACTAGTTTCAGTCGTCATATCTATATAATTTATGTTTGTGAAATACGTCAACTAAAGCTCAAAAAAATTCAACAGGTTTTTAGAAAAATCCTTGTTGAATCGCTTTACATCACATTCGACTACAATTTTTATTAATAAATTTGCTATCTCATTGATTATACAATGTTTAAAATCCGATATCAAACTCGTAATTACTATAACCAAATACCCCTAGTACTTGATTTTCATTGATGATTTTTCCTTAATTAATTTTCGATATATATCATTTAACAAATAATTTTGCAGTTTTTTGTTATTAATAAACAAAAAGAGATTTAGCATACAACACCAACTGGTAGACTTTGAGCATTACCCACATTTAGAACACATTTCAAAAAGCTTTTTGAATTTTTATGCACTTACGAATTATTCCAAAACAATGCTTTTTTGAGTACATTTACTCTACTAAATATGAATGATGCAGTTTTAGTTGGGTCGAAGCTAGTTTTTATTGGAATGTATGTTTTTTAAACGTATTATGAGAAGGTTTCTCGCTTAATCTATCGTTGATGTCTCTTTCTATACAAGCCATTTTATAGGCTAGAAGGAAGTTATGTTTAGGTATCCGTATCTTTAGAAGCAGGGTGTGTTAAACACTTATTATGCAACAAATTAAAGGCGATGGTATTTAGAACAATATAGGTATAAATAGTACAATGTTAAAATTAAGTAAATCTAACAATCTGTTTAGGATTTAAACAAACTATTACAGAAGTAAGAATTGGGTATGTAATAGTCCAAATAAAATTTTAAATACTATCTTACAACATTATACATCCTGCTTTAAAAAACGCCAAATTAAAACTAGTCATAACTATGCAATGAATTAATAAAACGAACAATTAATATTTGACAGTATCTTTCTATATAACATTACTAAATTTAAACATCTTGGATGACGTAGGTGTAGCGCATACAAGGGTTATGGGTTACTATTATATCGCGTCATTGAAATCTCCCAGTCATTTTTTATTTATTAATCTAGCACTAATTAAATTTCCGCTTTTCTCATAGTTTTCCACAGAAAAATGCTTCTAATTTTATTTTTGTTACTGAACTGTAATGTTTTCAAACAAATAAGGCGCACGTGTTGTTAATGTTAAAATACCTAGCACTAATTAGTAATACTTATATTAAAGTGTACTAAATTAGTTATAATTTTCTTCTATAAGATTTCTATCCAATTTACTAATTCTTATCATTATCATCGTTGATTTAAATGAGTAATTAAAATTGTTAAAATATGTTGTTTCTAAATAAATAAGCTATGATTTTGTTCTCTAATGTTTGATTAGGTACTATTCAATAATTAATGGCTAATTATTTATCAATTATTAAAATTGTAAATGCCAAAAAAGAACTTTTTCTGTTGTTACTTACAAGTAGCGCTATAAAGAAGTAAGAAGCTTTGAAAGCTTTTAGTTGTTATCAGAACGGGCGTATACTGGTTTTAAATGGTCTACATTACTTTTTTGTTTATTTCATCGGGCGGACCAAATAGTAAAGCATCGGAGGGCATCCATCGGCTATAAGTTGAACCGCGGCTTAAGTAAAAAAAAAAACTAACATTTTTTGAAAGCCTGACAACGTTTTAATGATTATTATGAGTCAGTAAATCGTCGGCTTCTACGACCGTTTCTAAGGCTCTTAAAACGATATACAGCTTTAGAAAAAGGACTATTTAGAGTTTTTTCCTTCTCATAATCGTTTTTAAGAACCGTCTTCAATCCGACGTGAAGAATTTACCTTAAGGTATGGTTTTACATCTAATTAATTAAGTAATTAATGTCATCATCATAAGATCGTAAGTCGTAAGCCTGGTTGAACACGCACCTCTACTCTTTCCAATCCTAAGCTAATTTTTGCATCTCCCCAAACCTAGAACAACCCATATCTTTAACTATTTGCGAACAGTAGGTCGACCTGTACCCCTCTTAATTCCAGATTCTGTATCTAATATATCTCTGACTAGACCATCATGACCGAAAAGGTGTCCTACCAACCTTTCTCGCCTCTTATTGATTTCCACAGAGNCGAGTACCTATCACCTATCCTGATGATGATAGTGGAAGTGGTGGTACGGCATGGTGAGTTTGTAAAGGT